AGGTGTGCAGGAGGCAGCTGATTGATGTTTCTAACTCTCTCCCTCTCCCTTCCTCTCTCTAATAAAAAAGGGACCTATAAAACAGTCACTGTTTTGTGGATGGGAGGCCAGCATCCTTAAGGATTGGTTTTTGGCCAGGATTTCAGGGAGGTTGGGGAGTTGCAGTTTCTAGGAGCCACCTCGAAGGGCCTCTAAGTGTCACTGCTGCAGGGTTACATGGACCACAGTCCTGCGGACCGCGACCCGGTGAAGGTCGGCGTGAGCTCCTGCAGGTGCCCGGGGAGCCCTGGGAGGAGAGCCTGCCCCGCCGCGCTCAGGGCTGTTTTACCCAAAAGGTGCTGCAGGCAGGGTCCTGGAAGAATCACGTTCTCTTGAAAATAAAACCGCAAAGTGGAAATGACTTACTGATACTCAAATATCTGCAAAGTGTGACACGATGGCATTTTATGTCAGCCAGACTCAGTACAGTATTTTCAGATTTTATTACATTCACATTAGAACGTTTTGGCAAAAATTCCTGATTGGGAAGGTTGATAGCTGAGAAGTTAAAGCCGGTGGTAAGTTATGTGAATTTTTCATAGCTCAATGATTACACGAGCAACATGTTAAATATTCTTTCAGCTTTTTTATTTGGGGGGGGGGGTTGTCATTTAGGCTGAACAGCAGATGTGGATGCATTTTTGTTTTTGATCTGGTCTGAGAGGGACCATACAAGTACATAGAGAGACCTTGAGTGCTGATGCTTCCCTCTTCTGAGAAGGAAATAGAACACTAACACTTGAGGATTCAGTTCAGGATGTCCTAATTATCACCCTTGATTTATTGGGATTTCCAAAAGCGGATGAATTGACAACCTCTCCCGTGTAGGCGTCGGTCAGGAGACGGTGATTACATTTGTTCAGCTCTCTGCTTCCCATTCTAATGAGACGGAATCTAAAAATACGGAAACCCTTCCTGGGCTCCGGGAGCCGGTGAGGATGGTGGTCACACGTCAGAAATACCGAGTTTCTGCTGGCTGTTAACAGTTCATTGAATCCAAAGGAGTAACCCACCTCTCGTCCTCTATCTAAAAAAACAGGTTTTTGGGATTTTTGGGAAAGCTCTTGACAGAACCTCAGAAACAACCTGAGCACTTGTAATCCTTGGCGTAGAAGTTTGCCCGTGATTGCGACCATGTTTGTACTTGTAGAAGCCATTCTAGCAGGGGTCTTCCAGGAATCCTTCTTTCCCCCGTTTTACATGGTGGCCGTGGGAGAGCTCTGTTGGACAAAGGGGCTGTCCTAAGGGTTCATTAGATCTTCATGTCAGTAGAGTGAGGCGCTGGCGTATCTGACGTGGAAGAGAAACTGGAAAAATAAAATCACAATAAATTTAAACTCTTCCTTCATCCCTTTATCTGGGCCTAATTGACATTGAATAGGTTAAGAGGTAAATCAAAATAAATAACCTTTTATTTCTTTATTATAGTGATTTAATATAATTTGATTAATTCATATTTGTCAGACTGTTTCTAAGAACTAGAATCTTCTTTTTCTCAGCCTGTAGATATAAACATGCAATTTTGCTTTACAGTGAACAGAAAATCACTGGGAAAATAATTAATATAAATTCATCCTATAGAATGTATTTTACTTGAAATTTTCAGTGTCTTCAATATAAAAAGTAAACAATAATAAGTGAGAGATTAGAGAGCTACACGATTTACCCTTGTGCATTTAGATGTGTACGGAATACCTCTATCTGTTAGCGAAAGTTACTTAACTATAATGGTGGGGGGGACAGATGTTACACGTTTGGGCCCTCCACCACGAACTTTTCTTCAGCTCCCCTTCCCACTGCATGCACCCATCAACATGACTAACTTTTTTTTTTTTTTAATATATTTTATTGATTTTTTACAGTGAGGAAGGGAGAGAGATAGAGAGTTAGAAACATCGATGAGAGAGAAACATCGATCAGCTGCCTCCTGCACATCTCCCACTGGGGATGTGCCCACAACCCAGGTACATGCCCTTGATCGGAATCGAACCTGGGACCCTTCAGTCCGCAGGCCGACGCTCTATCCACCGAGCCAAACCGGTTTCGGCTAACTTTTTTTTAAAATAATATATTTTTGTTGATTTTAGAGAGGAAGGGAGAGGGGGGAGAGAGAGAAACATCAATGATGAGAGAGAATCATTGATCGTCTGGCTCCTGCAGGCCCCCTACTGGGGACCAAGCCCACAACCCCCGGCATGTGCCCTTGACCCTTCAGTCCTCAGGCCGATGCTCTATCCACTGAGCCAAACCAGCTAGGCAGGGCTAACTTTTAATCCGTATATTTTTACATTCTGTAATTTCTTAATTGGTCTGTCTTATTACTAATATCTGACATGCTTAGAACTATTGTGTGATCAGTAAGATTTCTATAAGAAATACTGTTTTAAAAAAATACCATGTTGGGAGGGGTGACTTATATCCTACATTAATGAGTGGTCACTTTACTGGATATTTAAAACAAGTACATTTTTAATGAACTAAGGTGAATAAAGGCACAACTAATAACAAACAAACAAAAAAAGCAGAACTAGTGTTTTAATGAAATACTCCTTAGTGTGTTGACAATGTAAGATGTTTCTTTGCTAATAAAGTCAGAGAACTGAATTATATCATTTTCTTAGGTTTCCTCTTACTCGACCCAATCTTTGTAAAGAATGGGAGGCAGCTATCAGAAGAAAAAACTTTAAACCCACCAAGTATAGCAGCATTTGTTCGGAACACTTTACTCCAGATTGCTTTAAGAGGGAGTGCAACAACAAGTTACTGAAAGAGAATGCTGTACCCACAATATTTCTTTGTACTGAACCACGTGACAAGGTAATGTGTGTTTTAAAATACTGGCTTCCCCCCTCCCCCATTTTAAAAATTAATGTATGTATTGTGGAAAATTTGGAAAATTCAGAGTAGTCTTAAAATAAATGTTACCTGGAACCTATTCCTTATAAATAATCACTGTTAACAGTAATATACTTTTAAAAAATACAAAATATAGTTTATCAAAGTTAAATATCCTCACACTAAGAAAATCAAGCTTTGCAATTTATTTTAAGATTATTCTGTACCTCCACTTTGTATATTGATCAATTTTTTTTTTTTTTAATCAATGACAGTTCAATTTCAAAGTATTTTGCCCCTCAGTTTTAAATGCTCAGTAATTCATTAAATTTGATTAGTCATTCTCTTTCTTGCATCTCATTTCTACTTCAGGTAGAAAAATATAATTAAAACAAACAATTTCCTCATTTTGGAATTTTTTTTACCAGACTTCATTTTTAAAAAAGGTGTAATATTCTTAAATTCCACAGGTAAATTCTTTTAAACTGTTACTTCTAGTTATTAAATTCAAACATATTTTGCATTGTTGTTTTAGAAGGAAGATCTGGAGCCACAGGAACAGCCTTCCCCACCTCCTTTAAAACCTCCCATTTCCCAGGTTGATGCTGCTATTGGATTATTAATGCCTCCTCTTCAGACCCCTGATAATCTCTCAGTTTTCTGTGATCACAACTATACTGTGGAGGATACAATGCACCAGAGAAAAAGGATTCAAGAGCTAGAACTGCAAGTCGAGAAACTCAGAAAGAAGCTCAAGACTGCACAGCAACGATGCAGAAGACAAGAACGACAGCTTGAAAAATTAAAGGAGGCCATACACTTCCAGAAAGAGAAAGACGTACCGGAGCGAGGTTTTGTGTTTCTCCCAGAAAATTACTTTGAAATAGTTGAAGTACCGGTATAGAAAGAGTGAAATTTGTATTGGTTTTTAATGGGGCAATACCACATACCCTCTTCTAGTCTATAGAGTTTCATTTGAAAAAAATAGCACTTGATTACTTGTATAAAAACAATTCAGAATATTTTTTTAAATAAATTAGATATATACTATAAAATTGTTAATTCTTTTGTTGGTAATTTCAGGGTTTATACATTTTAACAAATATTTTGAAAGTTATAACTAACCTCAGAACTCCAATATAAGTTGGTTTTAAGACTGAGGGTTTTTGTTTTTTAATTTGAGCATTTATAGAAAAAATGTAAAAATGAAAGAGAATGAGAACAGTACAGTAAAGATGATTTAAGTTGAAAATTTAAAATTAGTTTATTGAGATAACTTAGTTATATTTTAAATCAGAAGTATGGCTTAGATCATAGGACATAACTTCTCAGAATATAGTGGAACCTCGTTTCTCGAACTTAATTCTTTCCAGAAGGCTGTTCGAGAAGTGATTTGTTTGAAAACAGAATCAATTTTTCCCATTAGAATTAATGTAAATTGAATTAATCCATCCCAGACCCCCAAATGATTCCCTGTTTCAACCTTTCTTATATACAGTACGTACATGGCTGATGTACAGCTTAATTTATAAATAAACACTTCTTTTCTAAAATTTATGGAACCACCCCTATTAGCCTTAAAGGAATTTTTCATACATCACTGCCTCCAGAATGCTATCACCAGCTAACTTCTTTTCCTTTATCCAAGCAGCAACAGTTTTCCTACCTATTCAATTGCCTGTGATTGCTGTTTTGTGAGCACTTTCACACTCTTAGCTACATTAGCACTCTTAATGGCCTCTTTTTGTATTAAAATTGTGCTAATTGCCAGCAACAAAAGCATTCTCTCCTTTGCTTGTTGACTGAGAGATGCTTTGGTCGTCAGGTTGAAAAAGGAAATTTTGGTCAACAACCAAGACATTTTTTTTCCTATGAACAACTTGGAGAACTGAATTGTTCGAGATGGGAGACATTCGAGAAAAGAAGTTTGACTGTATATTAGAGTAACAGCAGCTCTAAGTCCTGAATTGAACTCAGTTTCAATGGTTCCATTCTATTTTTATGGCACATGGCTCAGTTTTTGGTTCAGAAAAAGCTTGTTATTGTAGTTAATACTTATTTACAGAAGTTTTCTATAAAGATTCAGTTGTTTCTCTTCATATTTTGTACATACAGTTCATGGGTCAATGCTCAACCACTGTACCACACTGGCCGGGCCATAATATGGTAGGTAATCTTGAACTTAACTAATTGATTTTGGTCAAGGCTTCACTTGACCAAAATGATTTCTTCACGTTTGCCACAAATTAGAAATGATATCTCACTTAAATGATTTATATTCAAAAGCAACTTAATATGTAGTGTTTATTTTCCTGAATGTTGAGATTTAAACACTGAGGTTTCTGTTCAAACTGTGAATTATATTCTGACTTTGTGATAAATTTTGCATATATTTGAAATGAAATATGTTCTGAGTAAAGAAATACTGCCATAGCATGTACCTACTTAGATTTAAAGTAACAGTTTCAACTATAATTATTTTAAATTTCAAAGTACACTGAGATAGTTGAATAATAACAAACCTTTTAAGACAGTATTAAAAATGATATTCAAAGTGTTTTTGTAGACCTATTTTTCAGTGTAATTCACTGCAAGGCTGCCAATAGATAGTACTTTGATTCATGGAGATTTGATCTTTGATGAACCAGTATTTCAAAAACAGAACATTTTGATTCGAAGATTACTTGAAGCTATTTAGTCTGATAATATTTAGAACTAATTCTAATGAATCACAACATTTTCCAGTTGTAAAGTCTCCATTTCATCTCTCTAGCAATTCTTGGAGGATGTGTGGATAAATATTTTGTTTTTATATAAATTGTTGTCTACATAAAAGAAAATCTGTGTGTGTGTGTGTGTGTGTACGTGTACACATGGGCATATGCGTGTGTACATGCAGGTATGTGTGTGTGTCCAGAATGAAGAATCCAACATTGAATTATAAAAGTGATGATGATAATTACTAAACATCTTAGCATTATGACTTAACCTGGAACTATTTTCTTTTCATGACAGACATAAATCCATGCTTGGAGAGAACTGAGCAAGAAACATGTATACCAACTGTTTGCATATAAATAATATGTCATAGTTTAACATAGGGATTTTGAGGTACAGGTGCTTATTTCTGAATTTGAGATGTAACATTTGTTGAATGTTTTAAAAATTCATTTTGTCTATTATTTATAACATTGCCAAGAAAAGGATAACATTTAGGCTAAAATAGGTCCTGTTCAAACATAGTGAAACTCATTCTACAACAGGGACAAGATTTCAATCTGAAACAAATTGGGAGAGGGCTTGTGAACTGCAGCATATTCTGAAAGGTAACATTTATTTTAGCATATAGCAACACACTAAAATATCCACCTGTGTGTGACATAATCTAGCTATAATTAATGGTGAGAAGAAATAATTGTTTCTTAATAGAACTGCTAGGAAAACGACAGAGTTTTAGAATTAGAAGGGACTTATAAATCATTGAACACTAGCCCAACCTCTAAACCCTGGAAGAAATTTCCTTGTAAAATATTGCTGACAGTTGTCATCTGTTCTTGCATTGCCGTTTACGTTTAATCAGTTCTGCTTAGATTCTTTAAATTGGGTTTTGGGATTAGGATAGAATTAGTTGCCACTTTTTATACTTGTTTATAATACAAATATAAACTTCACTTTGAACTGCTGCATAGTTTGAACTGTCAAATTCTAAATTACAGAAGTTTTGGATTTTTGTAAAATAATTCAAATGTTTACTAATTGTTACACCTGTTATGTGTGCTAAAAATATTTCTGCCATTGAAGTAAAAAACAGAGATGTCTAAAATTACTAGCACAACTTTTCACTTGGAAATCCAAGAACATGAAATTATTTTCCTTTATAATTTGTGTAATCCCCTTCTTAGCAGTATAATGATAATGGTGAAGGCAAATAAAAGTTTCACTTGAATGTACGTTTTTTAGGTTAAATTAATGTGGGCTTTTTTAGGTTAAAATTCTCTGATCACTTGAGTTACCAAAAAAATTTTACACACATGCACAATACCCAACACCTATGGCTTTTATAAAACCAGTAGTAAGTGACATAAAGTAATGTATTTAAAAGTCCTCATTATCTGTAAAAGAAAACTTAATTTGTGTTCTAGAATTTAAAAAGATAGCCAACCTTTAGTATTTAAAGGAGAGAAAGTGAACAGATGGGCTTGCTTGGTTATTACTCTCTAATATTGCGGAGTGCATTGGATGACAATGAGTGAAAAGCATTGCTCTTATTTGATGGTAACTTGTGTTTTTGGGCATTATGGCTTAGTACAGTTATGTATTAAAATACAGTCCTTGATGTGAAAGAAAAATAAAGAGCAAACACTGATTTGCAGACAAACCAAAATAGCAGTTATAATTAAGCTTTAAAAATGTGTTGAGAATTTTTATTCTTTTCTAAATTCATCGTATTTTGGGTTTTGAGATTATAAAAGTTTTATTTTAAATATCCTTAGGGATATGAATAAATTTTCATTGTTTTAAACTATTTTTGGTGAGACAAACTACAATATTAATAAATAGACTTCTGGAATGGCTACATGAAGACCTGTGACCGGCTCCCCTCCATAACTGCCGTAACAGGTGAAAAAAATTATTTTTTTAAAATAACATTTAAAGTTCATGTGGTCCTAAAGGCATACAACACATGGAACATTCAAGAAAACCCAAATCTCTGTAAGAACTTGAAATTTGTGGCATTTATGCCACAACCTATTCTCTTCCTACACCTCCTCTCTCCCTCCCCAACCACACACATAGCTCAGTGCTACCGTAGCTCCACTCTGAGTGGGTATAGCCAAGAAGACAATGCTCCCTCTTCCCTAACAAGGATATGGTATCTTTAAGGGAGGGGCAGGCTGCCAGTATTTCTCAGGCCCCTCTAGCCTTGTGTTGCAAAGGCTAAACTCCAAGTATATGGAGCCAAGAGGTCAGGACTCCCTTTTCTCAACCAGTTCCCATAGGATGGAGGCTCTACCCCAGGTACAGCTGGCCAAGAATACTGGGATTCTGAGTACCTCTTGCTGGCTTGCTTATAGGGTAAAGTTTCTGTGCCAGAAGTGCCAATCCAAGAAGACTAGTGGCTTCCGTAATTATTGAGCTCTACTCATAAAGTTGGCCTAGCAATCCTAGAGAAGCAGGCCATGATTCCCACTCCCAGCTCCAGAAGAGTGACTCACATTTTTCCCCAGGGGAGAGGCAGCCCAGAAGAATCAGGAGCTCTGAAGCCCTTCCCGCAGGAACTGATTTGGGAGAGTGGAAAGTCCAAGGCAGGGTGCTCTCAAAAGCAATGGCATTTAGTGGTCAGCAATCAGGAGGCAACAAGCCAGATTAACTGACAACCAGGGAGAGAGGCAAGAAAAGCCCCCCTACGGCCATAACAAGCCTCAGAGACTAGCCTCAAACACCACCTCTCCAGAAGGGCCCGACCAACTCTAAGTGGGTCAGACTGCAGGGCCATTTGTGCCCCGGGGCACCATCAGAAACAGCAGTCAACTGGCAATGGGAGCTAACATGAGTGTGATGCCAATTGAGGCAGGTGGGTTTAACAGATCAAGAACATACTCGGAGAAAGGCCTATTAAAGCCTTGCCCAGGTGACTATGCATACCCAAGGCTGCACCCTCTAAATGAAATGGAAAATTTCTCAAGCAAAAGATGAAGCCAGAAGGCTGTGGGCTGATGTATTTAAAGGGTTAAAAGAAAAACAACAGCAACCTATACATCAAGAATGCAGTATCTATTTTTTTTTATATTTTTTTGATTTTTTACAGAGAGGAAGGGAGAGAGACAGAGAGTCAGAAACATCGATGAGAGAGAAACATCAACCAGCTGCCTCCTGCACATCTCCAGTGGGAGATGTGCACACCCAGGCACATGCCCTCGACCGGAATCGAACCTGGGACCCTTCAGTCCACAGGCCGACGCTCTATCCACCGAGCCAAACCGGTTTCGGCAAGAATGCAGTATCTTGCAAAACTGCCCTTCACACTTGAGAGAGACATCTTACCATTATAATTAGCTAATTATTAATAACTAGAGGCCCAGTGCACAAAAATGTGCACTCATGGGGCGGGGGGTCCCTCAGCCCGGCCTGTGCCCTCTCGCAGTCTGGGACCCCTCGGGAGATAACGACCTGCTCTTGGGTGGCAGAGGGCAGACCCGATCCCTAGGTGCAGCCCCTGGTCGGGCTCAGAGCAGGGCCGATTGGGGAGTTG